GCGGCGACGCCCTGGTGACCCGCATCTCCAGCCTGCTGCGCGACCTGCCCACCCTGAAGGCGGCGGTCATCGTGGCCTGCGCGTTCACCGCCCTGCTCATCGCCTGCCTGCTGCTGCGCGTCTTCAGGTGCGTGCTCGGCGCCCTGCCGCCTCGCTCGCGCGCACAGCCGGCGGCCTCTTCACCCCGCCGCCATGGCCAGCCCGCCCCACCCGGGCGCACAGGTGCTCCGTCGGCCCGGCCTGGGCGTCTGGGTGCGCTCCTGCCAGCCCTGGGGCGCCCTTCGGTGCTGGGAGGGCGGGGGCGCAGGGCGAGCAGCCTCGATTGCCCCTTGGTACCCAGTTTAGGACTGTTCTCCGCCTTGTGCATAAGCTCATCAATGCCACGGTGCCAGCTGCGGCCGATCTACTTGTGCAATGGTCTGTCTCATCAATGCCACGCTGCCAGCTGCGGCCGACCTTAGCGCGGGATTGATTTTTATCCCCTTCTCACCAAGGAGAAAACTTTTTGCAGATAGGTGAGGGCCATGACTTAGGTACAGTCAGCTGGTAGAGCTGGGGTTTGAACCCATGTTCTTCTGACTGCCGTCTTACCTGCCTCTTCCCCCACCCTCTGCTCTCAGCGGCTCTTCCTCCCCTGCACCCACCTTGTTTCTTTCCTCCATTCCCCTGCCCAAAGAAGCTGTTCTAACGTTGGGGGATTGGAACTGGGCTTCCGAATGCTTGGCCATCCTGGGTGAGGGCTGTGGCTTTTGGCTACTGGGGGCCGTAAGTGACTTTCTCCAGCACAGGCCTGGTTCAGGTCCCTCAGCGAAGAGTCGCAGGAGGACGAGGTACCTTGGGCCAAAGCAGTTTGCCCCTGGGAGAAGCTTTGGAAGGTTGTTCAAGCTCAAAGAAATGGTGGGTCCCTGGGGGTGGGGTGGGGGCTGTGTGTGGGAAACGACAAAAGATGACCTGGTTTTCTGGAGTAGTGGGGCCAAGAGGCACAGGGCAGGCAAGTAGGACATCTCTTCCATCTCTTCCTACTGTTGTCGGAATCCTGTTTGTGCAGGAAATGGACCCAAGGTGCCCTGCTGCCCAGACTGGACAGATGCTGGGCAGTCTGGGTGTGTACTCTCCAGTTTCTCCCAGCGCACCCTCGCTCCCTCCCTTCCAAGTGTGCACACGGCGCTTGGGTGTTTGGTCAGCTCTTGCAGGTCTGGGGCAAGAGGCCTGCTGTCCTGGGGGAGCGGAAACCAGACCTGGGAAAGAGAGGGTAGGAGGTTGGCTGCTGGGACTTTGAGTCGAGGTGGGCCCACAGGATCAAATGCCATTCTTCCTAAGAAAACCGATAAGGAGAAGGAGTGTTCTCACATTAACCCCACTGCCCTCTGCCTGGATCACCTCGGAGTTCTCTCAGTATTGGATTGCTCCTTCCTTACTGCCAGCACCCTGCCCCCACCCCCAGCCCCACACTGCCCTCTTCCTGCTTACACACTTCAGTGGCATTCTGTTGTCAGTCCCCACATACTGTCCTTGCAGCCCCCAGCCAGTCCTGGGGAGACTCCGTTCTCACCACTTGCTTCCCTTAGGCTCTCTGGTGTCTGTTTGGCCGCTCAGTCACCTAGACCCAACTCTTGTGCTCCTTTCTCTGAGTGGTTGCCTGACTGCTTCCTTCTCTGGCCACCCCCAGCCCTAACTTGGTGTCTCCTTTGGAACAATCTTGCCATGGTGGCTGCTGTGCTTAGTACCCGACTTCTCTCCTAACCGGAGAAGAGGGTACCTTGGAGGATGGCGAGGTCCCGTTTGTTCATGCTTCTTGCTCCCCTGTGCACGGCACTGGCAGCTAGCAGCCACATCTTGCCTTACCGAGTTCCCGGGGGTTCAGTTGGAGCAGATGTCAATACCTAAAGCAGTGGTTCTCAACCTTCCTAATGCCCGGCTCTTTAATACCGTTCCTCATGTTGTGGTGAAACCCCCCCCTCCCCCGCCCCAGCCCAACCATAACATTATTTTCTTTGCTACTTCATCATTGTGATTTTGCTACTGTTATGAATCGGGGGACTCCGGTGAAAGGGTCATTTGACCCCCAAAGGGGTCGAGACCCACAGGTTGAGAACCGCTGACCTAGAGGAATGCTAAGCCTGTTAGAAACAGTGAGCTCAAAATAGGCCACCAAGCCCACAAGGACATGTCCTTTTTAAGAAGGTATTTGAGCTATTTTGCGAATCTGCTCTGTATTATCCAGCCATCGGGGAGAAAAGACAGCAGCATGCAGCCAGATGTGAGGGGACAGAGCTGAGTGTTTGAACTGGAGTTAGAGGCCCCTGTTTGCTTGGGTGTGGACTGTTGAAAGAAGGTTAGGACTTCATGGGAGTGGACCAGTTATGGAAACACTCAGCCTCCCCTTCTGGAGAAGGTGTTCTTGTGAGGGCGAGTTTTCGGTGCACACCTGTTGCCTGGGTTTCGCATAGCAATAGGAACCCACAGAATATTACGGCTGGGAAGGACCTTTACCATACACAGTCCTGGTGAGGACCTTTGCCTGTGATGAAGCTGGCCCCAGAGAGATTCCAGAACATTCCACTGGTCTGTGGCCAAGGTAGGGCCAACTTCCTTTAGTTGTGTTCAGTGGTGTCCACTGTGACCTTTTCAGTCTTCATACGTCCAGCTTCTGAATGTTTGCCAGGCGGCTGCCCCGCCTCCCTGACCTCTTTACCTGCGCTTCTTCCATTGACATCAGCTTGCGATCCCCAAGCCTGGTCATCCTGCCACGCACGGCTCACAGAGACTATGTCACTTCTGCCCACCCCACAGCTCACTAGAGAACCCCGCCCCCACCCCACTTCCCTTTAGGCAGGTTTCCTGTCTCCAGCCTGTCCCTACTCCACTCCCTGTCCTGTTATCACCCCTTCTCCACTAGCCACACCCCCAAGTAGAAACTCGTTAGGCCAGGCCCGCCTCCCTCTCAAGGCCCGTCCTGGACTCGGCCACTCAGACAGCCTGGCGGAGCTTCCAGGGTTCTCTAGAGACTGTGTGGCTTCAAGCCCGAGTGTTTTGCTTCACCCTCATCGTCTGTATGAACTCCCTGCCACCACCAAGACTAAAAAAACAAACATCCCGCTAAACAAACAAACAAACAAACAAACAAACAAACCCCAAACAACAACCCAAGCCTGTGGTGACAGAGTCAGCCCCAATTCCTTATGGTCCCATATGTCAGAGTGTAGAACTGCCCCTTAGAGCTTTCTGAGTCTTCATCTCTACAGAGCAGAAATCCAAGTGTGCCTTCCGCGGTGTTGCTGGGGCTCAAACCGTTCCCCTTTAGCTTAGTAGTCAAACGAAAACCATTTGGGCAGCCCAAGACCTCACTAAGACTATCCAAAAAAAAAAAATCCCAATTCCTACTCAGTGATCCTATATAGGGTTTCCTAAACTGTGACTTTTCATAGGAACTGCCAGCCTCGTTTTTTCTCCCATGGAGTGGCTGGGGGATTTGAACCGCTGACCTTGTGGTTAGCAGCCCAATGCCTAATCCACAGCACCACCAGAGCTACGGAGCCAGATAGTTACCACTTTCCATGGCCCCGCCAGGCTCCAAAGCACCCTTGAACTTTCGTGTTTGCGTCTTGGAGTCAAGAGTGTGGCTGAGCTGTCACACTCAAGAGGGGAGAGCCCTCCAGAGCAGGCCCATGCCTTCCACTCTGTCTCTCCAACACCTGCCTCGGTGCCTGTCACAGGCGACAGTTCGTTAGGGTAATTTTAGCAAATGAATGTGGAACTCAAAAGCATTTCTTGTTGCTGATGCTTCTCAGTGTCTTTTGTGACTAGGAAACCAATGTAGGAGCTTTGTCTATAGTGTCCCTTTCTTTTCTTCCCAGTTAAGGAAAAAGTTGAGTTTTGGTGAAAATTTACATGGCAAGCTAGGCACCCATTGGATAATTTCCACATACATCGTTTGTGACATCTGTTACATTTACCACACTGCATCAACCATCTCTGTAAGTGCGCGCCGTTTGTTCCCCCTTCAGCGTTGTAGGGCCCCTGTCCCCGCCCCTTCTTTACTTTTGAGTAAGTGTTGACCTGTTTTGGTCTCACACTGATTGTAAGTAGAACATGATCTTAGGGCAATGTCCTTTATTTTGTGTGCCACTCTGATATTTTGCTAAAAGGTGATCTCAGGGGACAGGCTTGGTTCTAGGTTTAAAGAATGTCTCAGGCAGCCTGCTAGTCTCAATTATTTTACTTTCCCTGGATTAAAAAAAAAAAAAAAAAGCATCTGAATTCTGCTCCATATTTATCACCTATTCTGTCCACTATTGTGGCTCCTGGCTGTGGTGGTAGCTGGGCACCATCTAATTCTTCTGGTCTCAGCAGAGATGGTGGTTGTTGACTTTCTTCTTTGCATATTTATACCTTCTGGTTGGGCTGCTAACTGCAAAGTCAACAGTTCAAAGCCATCAGCAGCTCCACAGGGGAAACACAGGGCTTTCTACTCCCGTACAGAGATATAGTCTCTGAAAACCATGAGGGCAGGTCTACTCTGTCCTATAGGATCACTGTGAGTCAGCATCAACTCAATGGCAGTGAATTTGACTTGATTTGGAGTACTTTTTTGCCCTGGGGAGTAAAGAGCTATTGTTGTGTCTTAGATGGCTTCTCATTGCCTTTTACTTGTTGGACAATGTAGAGAAAGGAGGAAGAGTTTAACACCATTGTATATAAGATGTTGGTGCTGATATATTTGTCTGCTTTCTGATGGAGCAACAATGCCAGAAAAAAAAATCTAGATTCAAGAAAACTGTAAAAATTAGAAAGAAAGAATATATATAACAGAAAAATTATATATACACATACCTTAAACCAAGCAATTCTCTTTCTAACATATACACACTTTCCACTCCTGTACTTTTTTTTTGCTTATGATTTTAGTAACTACAGAGGAAGCCAGTATGCATCACATTAATATTCACAGCGATTCTGTTCTATCGTGGAAAGGTTTAAATAAAGCCTAAGTATTCAATAGTAGAGCATTGGTTAAGTCAATGTGGGCTATCCTTAAGGTGGAGTACATCGTGTCTGTTAGAAATGATGGCAGTGCTGAAAAATCCAGCACTGTTGAGGAGCCGGGGTGGTGCAGTGGTACAGTGC